TAATTCACCTTCACATTTCATTACCGAGCTTAAAATTCACCATCTTTATTAACTTATCAACGTTGAGAAGTATTACAAATGCATATTTGCCTAACCGTAACGGGAGCTCAGGTCGCCCGAGGCGACTAAGTTACGACTGAGCCCGCAGGGGCAACTAACATTGAAATATTTCACGAAATCATTGCCGATCTAATCAAAGAAGAACAGCACAGAAGTTAGTCCACCATACTTCTGATAATCTGCATGAAAACAAAAAAACAAAACTGAAAACTGGTTGTTGATGCATCCTTTATCTGCCAACGTGCAGGTGAAATTTTACCAGAAAACGAAAACGGCATTCAGACTTTCTCTTTGAAGTATGCAGTAGAACAAGACGTGGTGGTGAAATACATGAAACAACTCGCATACCTTTACACCAGGAAACAAAACAGAGAAAGAGAAAGAAGAGAGTAAGCGAAAAGGGAGAGTAACTTGGGCTAGAGGGATGTGGAATGAGAGAAACTCCTCTGTATGAATTTGCTGAGAAAGCAGAGTTTCTGTCACTCCAGGTGAAGTGACACTGACAGTGATGTACCGTTATATCGAACATCACAATCTGAAAAAAAGTAAACTGAACAAGCCAAGCCTGATTTAGTCTCGGCTCACATTCAGACGGTTGAGTCCCGGGACTCACTACAGCCTTTTTCTAGTGGATCACTGTTCCACGCGAAGCGAGGCCGGTGGCCGAATCTGTAAGGTTTACGAGTCAAGTGTTTTGTACAGCTCCTGGACATTTGGTTTTACTACGGTTTGAGATTGGCTGAGTAGTATAATCGGTAACTAATTGGTTTGGTTTTGGTTTTACGATACTCAATTGAAAACCGCTCTGACACCACAAGCTCATACATAAAATTTGATTTTGTGGCATTATGCAACCAAAAATGTCATATTTTATAGAGGGTTGGTCATGTAGCCCTCATTTAGGGGTGGGTCACTAAGTCTGTGCGGGTATCCAGTACATCGCTTCCCCGCCCCAATACGTTTTGACCANCCTTAACACTGTCAAGTCAGTCCTTTAAATCTGCGTTTTCAGATATCTCCGGAGTAGTGTGAACGCCGCCCACTAGGGTGCAGGATTGCGGTTTATCAAAATATCCTGATAGAATATCATTAATTTGATAACTGATATTTTGTTGATAGTAGAATGATAATATCGAGAAATCATTTTTATCACAATGTGCATGTCAAATATCAAAATATCATTATCATATGAGATTATCATGATAGTTGCTGAAAAAGTGGTAAATTGAGATATCAAAGTATCACTATCAAATCATGAGAATAGCATTGAAAAGTATACTTCAGAATAGCAAGCTATAATAGACACTCACAGTGATTCTTTGATATATCAGGGTAATATCAAAATCGGTTAGTTTCACTGCTGTTTGCTTTCGGTTAGCTTTTATTTGTTGTAAAAGGAATTTGTTGAAGTGATTTTCGCGCGCTTTGATTGGTTAACTCGGAGGTGATTAGCCAGTACTATTCACCTCCGAGTAGCCGGCGTGAGAGATTTAAAAAATTTCGACCGCTTGTCACACATTAAAGAAAAAACGTTTTGGTCCGCTAATTATTCAGCTTGTATGGTATATACGAAAACAATTATTCACCTCAGTGTCGGTGAAAGTGATGGATATTTACCTCCACTTCGGCGAATAATTGTTGAATATTAGCAACATCACTTACAAGAAGCAAAGAAGATATTTCATGATATATCACAAGTGGTAGTTAGTCATGATATGTTTTATCTTTTTGTTTCAAGCTCCTGCATACCCCCGCAGCCAGGACCCTATGCCTGGTAGCAACCTGCAACAGCAAGTAGCGGAGCGTATCCGACTCAACTCCGAGATGTTGCAGCAGATGCAACAGATTCGGCAGCTGCAGGAGATGCAGCAGCGTCAAGACATGGAGGAACGACTGCGGCAAGTGCGGCAACAGCAGGAGCAGCTCTACCACCAACGGCGGACCGTCCTCTATCAGCAGCACCAACGCCAGCAGGACGAGATACGCCGACAGAATCAGATACGGTTCATTCAGCACATGACTCAGCAGCCTAACCCGAGGCTGCAGATAGGGCGTTCTACTGTGAACGTACAGACGCCGCTTCCTCAAGCCCCACAGACTTCCTATACCCAGCCTGGTGGTCTTCCCCACCAGCCGCTTCAGTTGCCGCCTGCCATCCGCCTCACGCCCCCAGTAACTGGATCTGTCGCCCCTGCAGGAACCCCACCAACTATCAACTTAACTCTTGGACCAACGAGTCGAGTCAACGTTGCTAGGACGGTGCATTCACCTAACGTTGTACAGGTATCTCGCCCGCCTTTGGCTAATTCCTCCAAATAAGTGCAGAGGGGCCAAACACTGTTTTTGGATAGTACTTTGGTTTAAGCTTTTTAATGTTTAGAGGTGAAGATTTTTCCGTTGTTGTTATTAGAACGGTACGCGAGTGCTTGCCGAAAAGTGGAATTAGTGAACTTCAGAAATCAATTGTGGAATCTAGAGTTTGATTATGAAAACAGCCGTGTAGAGTTATATACAGAAAGTTCTATGATTATTTGAAACTTGTTTATAGATCTTTTTATCGTTAACATTATACCAAGTACGTCAAAGCACAGTTGTATCATATTAAACAAAGTTCAGTCATACTCAACTATGTTAAATGTCATAGTCATGGTATATCGCGCTTATTACAGTATTCTTGAAAAAGACAACCGTGATTTTTTTTTTGAACTTAAAAATTCTCGAAATGATATAGCCTTTGAGCTGCGCTTGAAAAATAAGTATTTTACCATCAATTAACCGACGAGAAGGGCTGAACTACGCCTTTGCCAAGTCTTTGATTTCCTTTTGTTGACGTTTTTGTTTTTTGACGCACTTCATCCTTATCGCTGTAATATGATCGAGCTCGCCCTTTCTTTCCAACGACGTTCCATATTCATTTGCGAGGGGGTAAACTAACTTTTTCCCCTGTGAATGCTTGATCTTCGTGACCCGACCCTTTTGTAGATAATCTCTCACCAAAACTCCTTCCAAGAAGACGAGCATTGTTCCACCCCAGGAGAACGCGCATTATTCGCGAGCTACCGCGCGTTACTCGCGGTTTTCTCGCGCCCTTCGTGCAACTTACGCGTTGTTCTGCGGGATGAAAAGAAAAAGTTCAAACGGAGTAACCTGTTCCTCTAAAGACCGTATCTCCTCAGAGTGTTAACCCTCACTGTAGCTTTGTGTACAACCAGAATTAATACCTGACTCGAGTTTTTTGTTTTTGTTTTTGTTTTTTTTTTTACTGAAATGTCTTAGTTCGTGAGCTAGTAAACAAAATTTATTGTGTCTTTTCCAAAGAACGTCTAGAGACAGTCGTTTTTCTCCGGCTTAGCTTAGTTAGCGAGTACGCGAGCGACCCGTGAAGTCACCTTTGTCGCGTCCGCTCGTGCGAGGTGATTTTCGCACTCACTTCATCGCGTTCTCGTCAACTCGACTAACCCTGTGAAAAGTGGGGCAATTCTCAAAATCATGTGCCCGATAATTTCATTGACGAAAGTCTCGAGTTTAAAATTCCCCCTAGGGAAATTTAGGGCGTGAAAGTTCACGATCTATCTGGCAAGGAGAATTTGAATACAGGTTTTGAATCTAAAGGGACCGTTACTTTTAATGTGCAATATACTGCAGATCATTTTACGGTGGTTTTGATGGTGATTTTCATTTGTAACGCGGCATAATTAAAACTTGCATAATTGAGATTTTCTGTAAAACCAAATGTATTATATCTTGAAATTGACTTGAAGATTGTATAACAACCTCTTAATAAAGTAGAACCAGTTATGGCATTGAACTGTGCTGTGTACTTCGTTGTTGCTTTTTGTTTTATGTTCGTTTGTTGATTCACTATTGCCATGTGCAAGTGGCTAAGGGAAACGTATTTCCGTTTATTTTTACATGGTGTGCGATAGTGACGCAAATGTGCGCCTACTTCGCTCGTACGAGACTTGCTTCTGGTCAAAGGAAACACATCTGAAAGTTAGCAGTAACCTGCTCCTATCACAGCAGAAAGAAAGTAGGAAGTTTGCATGCTGACACTTCTGAGCCGACAGTTAAAATTTTGACCAATTCTCATCTGCAAGTTCAGCCCCATACAGACCCGCCGTTAATGAATTGTCTTCGTTGGATATAAACGACACACGTCAATGTACCCTCCCCCCGCCCCTTCGCTCCCCCTCCCCCTTTCTGTAGTCTTGAACACGTAACAATATGCAACCAGCTTTAATCACGAAATCTCACTCATACCGGCTGTTCAATAACCTCGTTAATTGTCTTTACGGTCAAAGAACTAATATATTGTTATTTCAATAACATTCAGGAAGGATTATTTCATTTCCAGACGAAAAAAGTGACCAGTTCAAATTAAATACGATGAATACCAGCTGTTTTTATTTCGTCTGCTTTTCTTCTTTGGCTTTGGTCGCCATATTGGTTTCTTTGGTGCAGGGGGTGAATTGGACGCAGCTATCCTGTCTTTAAGAGCTTGCAAGCAAGAAAAAAACAATACATATAAGTTAAATAAGAGAGTAAAACAAGGCTGAAAATATGATTACCACTTTCGACTTTTTGTGAAAGTTCGTTATCGCGGTTCAAGAGTGGTTTTTGGTTAAATGTTCAGATAAGCAGCTCATTATTAAACTACGTCTTTATACACTTTGCATGCATTAGCAATTTATGACATTTATGGAACCGTCAGAGTTAGAACAACTCGCACCGGCATATGTTCTCACTAGAGGATCCAACATAGATTTGGCGGGATGCGGGATAAGATTAAAAATGATGGCGGGAGTGGATTTGCTCATTTTGCATTTTGACAGGGAGGATGCGGGATAGTTTTAAAATTGATGGAGAGTGTGTGATTAAAACAGAAAATCTCATGTAACGGACGTTACACGAGAACTGACACACTAACCAAGCGGGATCGGGATAAACATTCTGAGTTGGGTGGGATAGCGGGATTGAGCCAAAAATAGCTAGTGCCATCTAGTGGCAGGATGCGGGACTGAAAAGTCAACGTTGTAACCTTCTAATCGAAGCAACTGTCCAATATCAAAACAAATCAGAACAAACTTTCCGATTTACCGACCAATCGAGGTCAAAACCAACAATAGTGTGACTTCCGCGCTCAACAACAGTTGCATCTTTTTACTTCAAGTACTGATTGGATTATTTGGTGCTGCTGCTTTCTGCTTTCTAGTAAACTCCGAGCAAGTTGAACCTCTAGTGCTTGAAATTCAACATCGACCATTTAAGGAGGTTTGGTACTAGTAACATCGACAAAGGAGAAACTTTGGCGTCTGGGAACGAGACCAAATGGATTTTGTGTGACACAACTCACCATCTTCGTCGAAGGAAGTCAACAACACATTTAAGGATCAGGTGGAAGGCAAGGAGAGCAAAATTCACAGCGAAAACTGTGGGTATCAAGCAGAAGACATCTTGCCAGGTCGCGGCAATGATGCGAGCTTGAATACTTCTCACAGGGTCTGTTCGGAAAAAGTAGGACTCGGTGAAAATGAAACCACTAAACATTACAAATCACTAACTAACCAAAGTAAGGTTTACTGCATACTGAACATTAGTTTATTGAGAAATTTGGGGTGTTGGGCTGGCAATTTCCTGAGGTGTGAAATCTTTTTCTAACCTTTACTTTATGCATAATTTTTTTGGGTGAACAATAACTTGGGCGAGAAGTCAAACTCTGGACCCGGAAAGCACTAGCTCGATATTTTTCCTATGGCTCCCTTATACTTATTTTTTTCTCAGCTGTTTTTGCTGTGCTGGAAATTTTTTAGGAATTGTTTCCCCCCGCTCCTGAAAAAAAAATGGTCCGTCCCTAAAGGTGTATAAGTTCTGAACTAGAGAAAAGGGGTGTTTTAAGGCCGTCTTTCATTAAAGCAGGATTCGCCATTTCTGTTACCGCACGCAGACTGCACAGATCAAGTTTTCCAGTTCCAGGCTAGGTAACAAGGCGGTTGTCCTTTAGACTTAGATTTTACTTGCCATTAAATTGTAATAAATAAATAAATAAATAAATAAATAAATAAATAAATAAATAAATAGATAAACATGTTCTTCACTTACTGTGTGAATATCCATTGTAAAATTTGACAGCAGCGTCAGTTACGAAGTTTCCAGGGATAAATAGTTTTCCAGTCGATATAAGTCCATTCCAGGTCCATCCAGTTATTAACGCAAGTCCATTCCAGATCCACTCGGCCATCAATTTAAATCCGTTCAAGAGCCACTCGCCCATCCATGCAACTCCATTCCAGACCCTACCAGCCAGTACGGCCTCGTCCCAGATCCACTCGGCCATCCATGTAATTCCATTCCATACCTTATTTAAGCAATAGGCCACAGGTTTTAATAGTTTATAGGCTGATAAACCACGCAGGATGTTGGAAGAACACTCGAAGAATTCGTAAATCACGAGCTGCAGGCGAGTGATTTACGAATTCTTCTCGTGTTCTTCCAACATCCCCAGCGGTTTATCATGCCTCTAAACCATAGAAACTTGTGGTCTATTGCTTTTATATAATAATTCAGAAGACACGCGAAATTTCCATGAGTTTGCTAGCACAATAAACCATAACCATTTGTATTTGTATAATGTATATCCAGACGTCCTAACTTGTCTCGACGAGATTATACTTAATCTATTTTATCTTATC